GGCTGCCCAGAGAGGTTGTGGAGTCTCCTTCTCTGGAGATCTTCAAAACCTGCTTGGATGCAGTCCTGTGCCACGTGCTCTAGGTGACCCTGCGTGTGCAGGGGGGTTGGGCTAGATGACCTCTAGAGGTCCCTTCCAACCTTAAGCATTCTATGATTCTATGATTCTCTAAGTACCTCAAGGGAGGGTGTGGAGTCGTTCTTGGAGGAAAATGGCCACCCGATGAACCAGCCATACGAGATGTTGGAGTAAGCACGTGACGCAGAACAAAAAGTTACTTTGAACCTGCGACCTAAGGGAAGATCGATGGAGCCTGACAACAACCAATCAGAAGAAAGGCTCTAGCCAATCAGACGAGACGGGAGTGTGCGCGCGCAGGAAAGGAACTGATATATAGGGGACGGCTTTGTTTCAATAAACGGGTTTTTTCAGGTTGATTCCCATTGGATCGTTTTGAGCCCACGGTTTTTCTCTCCTCAGGAGGGAGTGAGGAGGATGGGGCTGGCCTCTTTTCACTGGTGGCCACCGACAGAACTAGAGGTAATGGTCACAAACTGAAGCACCAAAAGTTCCACAGGAACTTAAGGAAAAATTTCTTAACAGTGAGAGTGACAGAGCACTGGAACAGGCTGCCCAGAGAGGTTGCCCAGAGAGCATTCTATGATTCTATGATTTTACAACCTTTTACAGTAATAACTGGAATTTAAGTGAAAAAAATAGGGTCAAAATGCTATATTTACAATATAGCATAAGAGTTCACAATGCTGTCACTTAGATGAATGAAGCAGTTGCACCTCTAACAGCACCTCTCACAGCTATTGCTTTTGCTGCCTGGGGATTCTGGCAGGTCTAAGTTCATCTTTTTGTATTATTTGACATTTTTAAAGTTACCTTTATCACTATAGAGGATCAAAACCCACTATCTTCACAAAGCAAAGTCAAATAATAAGAAATATAGAAAATAGGAAAGTAGTCAGTATCTTTAAGATGAGCACTGAAAGAAAGACGGAAAGAGGCCTTTTGATGTCATCTCCTTTTAGATACTCTGAGCAAAATACAAGCAACTTCTTATTGAGCAGCAAGACAGCCCATCTCCCACACGATATGATCAGTCATTTTGATTCAGACACCACACCAAGAATCTACCTCATCAGCAGACTGAATTAGACTGCTAAAAGTAACTAACAAAGGTCCAAATGACAGCAGTCTGCTGAAAACTCTGCTTTTTATTACAGCTTTTTTTAATATAGTAAATGATTTTGAGAACCAATCTGCACTACTTAAGTGAATAAAAATAAATTGAAAAAAAATCCCCAAGAAAAAAGCTAAAAACGTCATCTCAGCAATATATTTAAAATCTCATCAGGAGGTGACTTGTAATCTATTGGATAACTTAAAAACTTAAGTTCAGAGTTGTGTGTTGTTTTACCTTGTTCTTAAAAAAAAAAGTAAACAAACATTAATTATTTAAATAAAAGAAAAGAAACTGCCACTGCCATACAGAATGCACAGAGACTACCATGATTGTAAATACATACATACATATGTATATTCAACATTCGCTTTACTTGCTTTGAGTTTGTTAAATAGAGTTTTGCTCCTAAATTTAAGATCTGCAACTTCACAAGGTCATCTTGATTAGTGAAGCTCTTGGCTGTCTTTCTCAAAACATCAGGTGCAATCTTTGGAACTCGTTCACAGTACTCCCCAATGAGCCAGAGAATGCTTGCCCTTGCCACTGGCACCTGAGAAAATATTAAATGCTGTAAGTGAAAACATTCACAAAGACTTATTGTGTACTTGTACACATATATGTTAAGTAACAAATTAAACAAAATATTATTTAAACACAGTTGTCATGCAAGTAATGAAAACCCAAACTAAATATCACCTATCACACTTCCTGTGGTGAACAGAATGTACCTACACACATAAAGTGCAGATCCTACCCCATCTCCCCCCACCAAAAATAAAGAAAAAGCAGAATGAAAACAGACAAAGATGCAATCTGTGCCTGTTCACAGTATAAGATGGTGGCAGCTTGGAAGAGAATCCAAGTCTGAGATAGGGCCTGGAGTTCTTGCCACCAGATTATATGAAACACCATGTGGAAACACAACATTTTTAGATAGCTATTAACACAGAGATGGTTGCCAACAATACAGCTTCTTCAGGTCCTGCCCATTTATTAAAAAGCAGAAGTTCTTTAAAGAAAATTGCCAGATTTCCTTCATTCTTATTTAAAGATTTTGGCAGCGAAGTTCATATTTTTGGAAATGTCCAAGACAAACTGAACACAGAATTTGCAAGACAAAAGCTCAGAATTTTTTTTCCCTAATTTTTGAGCCGGATCTAAGAGTTTTTTTTTTTTAACCCTCCCTTAATTAAAACACTATAACCAAAAACTTTAAACAAGTCTTATTCTTTTAGTGCTACTCAACTGTGTTTCATAGAGTAACTGAAGGAGCAGTTGCTAGAAGAACTTGCAGTGCATTGTGTAAGCACAATACTGCCAGAGACGGAGAAAAAGCAGGGTAACCCCCCTGCCCAGAAGGAAGCCAAAGCTCCATGCAGAACTGGCTACAAGTAATTCCAAGTTAGATGAAGAAACACATATACTCTTCTCAAAGGCAGATTATCCTAAATCCTACACAGCGGTCAAATTAGAAATTGTATCTATCCTATATATATCTCCAAGATACAACGTTGGCCTTCCTCTCAAGGGAGGAGGAAAGTATATGATCAGAAAACTCTTCTGGGAGAAGCATATCTTGAGAGCACCACAGTCTTTAGACACAAATTTTATATAGACTCATTGTATAGGAGGTGGAAATTTTTATGATCTGTAAGATCATAAAACTATTGTGCGAAATAGAATCCAGACCTTGAGACAGAAGGTGTTTGCCTGCCTGGGCTGAGCAATAAGGAGCACGGAGGTGGCTGCTCAGCCAGGTTCACAGATGACCTCCTCCAAAAGCAGTTGAAGGTGGCTGCTTGACCAGGCTCACAGCCAACTTAACAGCAGGCGTCCTCTAAACTAGCTTTGGAGGTCAACCACCTGAGAGGGAGGAAGGCGATGAGGAAGGCAGGACCCTCGGGCTGACGGCTGGGACCCCCCACTGGTGTGTGTGCCTGCGCACCCGGGGGGGAAAGTTATGTGACTGAAGGTGGAGTTTGTCCGCCCCCCGGCCTGCATCCTGGCACCTACTGGCCCTATGAGGCAGGAGGCACCGGGCATAAAGAGACAGTGCGGAGAGAGGGGGATGAGAGTCCTAACACCGAGGCCTACATTGTCTCCGCAGGGACGCCCACCGAGTTAGGAGCCTGTCAGCAACCCTCTAATCTGCCAGCTCGAGAGGATGTTTGGTCTCAGTATCCTGCCGGCAAGTATTACCTCATGAGTAACTATCCGTACTTTGCTTCACTGTTTATGTGTTTTCACCTGAATAAAGGCTCAATGTAGCCACCTTGTTTTGTGTGATTATTGCCGAATCCCGAGCCCATCCGGAACACTCATCCAACATAATTTAAAATATTACGAAAAAAATGAAAAAAAAAGTTGCAATTTCAAGTATTTTTTGCTGCACTTTTTCAAAGAAAAAAAAATGTACTGACGCCTTCCATCACTATAACATACTGATTTTTAAATAAGCCCACATTTAAGTCAGTGAGACTTCTGCCTTAGATGAAAATCACAGGAATGGGAAATTAAGGCTTGTGGTTCTCAAAACACTGATTTTTACCATTCTATCTCTATGTTTTAATATCTTTTGCAGCATATGTAAAAATAATTCATATCTGAATATATAAGTGGCAGAATTACAATGGGAAACAGCAACAGAAAACAACTTTTAAAGTCTCCTGCCTCGGAATTAATGCTTTTGAGTTACATTCATAAAAGGTAACAAGTGCAAGTAAACCATCAACATGCAAGATAGCACTTCTCAAACTATGCTGCACAATCCCTTATATATAGGGATTCACCCACTAAACCATTCACAAGAAACCTAATGATTAATAATGTTCTATTGCTCGAAAAACTTTGAAAAAAAAAACATTGAATAGAGTCAACCTAACAATATCTTGCTCTATGCTTTACACTGTTGCAAATACACATGCCAGACAAGCATGTGCCAAGCAAATATACCATGAGGTAAGCAAAAGATTAACTCTAC